ACAAACCTTTGGAATCGACATTTTAAAATAACTGGCATATCTGAATTCACAAACGGCCAACAAAATAAGGACATGGCTTATATGCATGAGTTCTATACGCAATTTTACACTATTGCTCGTTGACAAAAATACACAGAAAGAAAAACAGTTTCTAATTAGAGTTACAATTTTTTATGTTGTTGACTCTTGGCAAAGACTCAAAACATAGAGAGGGACTGAAGCAATAGTAAAACTTCACCCCCTCTGCTCCTCTTTTTGTAACTAGCAACTGTCTTCACTTGGCCACCTTGTTTGTGATCTACATAAAATTAATATTTAAGTGCACTTAATCCACACTGTATCTCAGATTTCTCAGCACATTTTAGGTGTTTTACTGCCAGTGCATCAGACGTACTGCACTACCATCATGACTTATCTTTTATCTACTGTCATTTATCTCAATAATCTAACTTGGCAGCGTACAGGGCAGTACAGTACATCACATCACAGAAAGAAGGACTTAATGAACAAATCATGGAACAAAATACAAGGTTTGTATCTTAGGACGAAGGAAAACTGGTATTTTCCTGACAGTCCCGATAACACTGAGGTCAGTGGAGTTTGACAGGTTTCTGTAAGAACAATATAAAAGTTTGATGACAGTTTTGATTGAAAATCAAATCAAACAGCTACTGACCTTGCAAAACACTCCATAAAAAGTCAGTTTAATGCTCCACACAGCAATTTAAAGGAAGGCTACTGTGTTTTTTCAAGTTTCATAACAATTTACTCTTTACCACATCTCTACTCAACATGTATCAGTGCTAATCTTTTGCTCAATATTTCTCCAATATTTATTCTTACAGATGCAAGCTAGTTCTGCCATGCAACAACTTTATACAAAAAGCCATATTTGCAAAGGTCTTGTTGTAGAATTCATCCTCAATATGCGAAATGTAACAGGGCAAGCCAGAAAACTCTCCTGCCCATTGGTATGCTCAGAAATTTTTACATGCAAACCTTTCTAAAGGTCAGAGTTAACCCAACCTTCAACACATGTTTTCCTTCGTTTGCAGGAAGGAGGGGGAGAAGCAAAACCTTCCAATACAGGGACCATATGTATTGCTATGGTTGTTACCCATATGCTGCACTGTTACAACTGGAACCCTGCCTTTGAATATTATTTATTTATTTATTATTATTTCCCAGTACACTGAGGTTGATGTCACAAAAATCTGTTGAATATAATCTACATGACTAACAGGAAAAGTTAACAGCCATGAATGTACATGTGTGCTGAACCCATGTTCTATATAAATTAGGCTTGGGAGAAAAAAATGAACTGTTATATAGCTTCTATAATCAGCAAGTCTGATAGAACCTAGTAGCATAAAGAACTAAATCAACCATCATGCACATTTTCCACAGATGCATATGCTGAAAAGTAGTGTATCAGTATATTTTTAAAATACACTTACTTCAGTTTCTGTCTAACTTAAGGGCAGATTTAAGGTCCACCCACAGATCTCTTCATAATGTCTGACTGCATTCCATTTAAAACCAGGAGTAATTGTAAAGTTCCTAAGGCTCTGCAATCTATGAAATTCTGTTTCAGTTAAAAACTGAAGAAGCATCATATTAACATGTTTACACCATCTCAGATGTTTTTTTCCCTTTAAAAGATTACAGGTTTCACTGTTGGCTTTTTTCCCTGTGTGCTTACAACAAATAAAAGCACCGATTTAGGAGTATTATTCTCACAGTGACCTTTTCTGAGAGGAAACTTTAAGCTTAGAGTATTTTATGCAACTTACACAGACATAAAGATTCTTATGGAACATAAGTGGACTCTCGCCACACTAAATTATCGGCTCAGGGAAAGATTCTTACTGCTTATTGAAAACAACTCTGTTTTCTTAATTTATCTTATTTCCCTCCCCCTTCCCCCCGATTTTAAAAAGAGAATTCTTCTAACTAAATGAAGAAAACTATATATAAAACCAACATTCCTATCAAGGCTGACATGATCAGTGAAGTGTGGTTGTGTGAGCTCCAGTTTGCATAGCACACGCGTTGATAAAGCACTTTCTCGTCTAGACACTCAAGGCAGAAAACCAAACCAAACCAAAAATTCAGCAAAAACCTCTTTCTCGATAACGTCCTTCAGTGTGTGAGATGCCTCACTTATCACCCTGGAGAAGTGCATTACTGAGCAGAGAGGCACATTTTCTAAAACAATCAGGAGGCATGCCACACTGCACAAGTTTAGAGCTCGGGGTGGGGTGAGGGGGGCCGGCAGGGAGCGGGTCCCTGCGTTCCGCTAGGGGGCAGCATGAGCCCTCCCGGCCACAAATAAATCTCAGAGCAGCCGCAGGAGAGGATGCGATTACTGCTGGCCTTCAGAAAAAGGGGAACTCCGTCTTCCCACATCTGTACCGCACCTCACACCTACTCTCAAAATACTTGCAACCTATTTTAACAGAAAAAGAGAATCGCCAGTTTTGCACGGGTGAAACTGACAAAAAGGTCAGTGTAACACCTAAGTCCCATGGTTGGCCATGCCCATCACAGAATCATAGAATGGTTTGGGTTGGAAGTGACCTTAAACGTCATCCAGTTCCAACCCCCCTGCCATGGGCAGGGACACCTTCCATTAGACCACGTTGCTCAAAGCCTCATCCAACCTTGCCTTGAACATTTCCAGGGATGGGGCATCCACATCTGCTCTGAGCAACCTCTCTGGCATCATACCGAAAGGCTGGAAAGGCTCTTGCTTTGGAATAGCAGTTCAGAAGCGGGCAAATGCCAAACCTGGACAAGTCTGCAACATTTACAACTTTACATCACTTTGTTGCTCACACAGAGTGCACACACTAGACACCATCTTACCATTACCCTTTTAAAAATGTAGCCATTACGCCCAGCATAAAAAACTACCCACCTTTCAATCTTCCCTGTCCTGCTCGCCATTGTTTCATATTCTTCTGTCAACCTTCCACTGCCAGGGAAGTCTAGTCTGGCTTTTCTGTGAGGCATTTATGTCCAGCTAACAGGCTGCACAAACAAGCAGCAGCAATAGGTGCAACAAAGTGACGCAGCTGATAGAGCCCCCTCTGCGCCATGTGTCTCACCCTGTGCCACTCAAGAGCCAACCCAAATCCTGACTAAGCTATGCAGGTTCACAGCCCAACTGTGTACAACTGTGACCCCTCACAGTTTTTCAAAAGGTCCACTGGAGGAGGGGAGGGCAAAGGTGAACAGGAATTATTGCTCTGTTTCCTTTGAACAGAGATGAGCTGGGTAGAATAATGTTCAAAATCAAATAAAACTCTATGCACCCAAACTGAGGCACTTGAGATACTGCAGTTCCTTCCCTGATTTAAAAGGGAAACGACTACCGTAGAAGACATATATTACTATGTTATGCTAATTGTTTAGTGGCAACTGACATGTATTTTATTGTTCAATTATTCCAGGTTTGACAATGCTAATTGTGCAATACCTTTCAGTAATTTTTTGCCCTGCTGGTGGGCTGCTCCTCTCTGTGGGACACCTGAGGCATAACTTCAGTTGATTAAATTAAATACATTTGCTTTACTCAGTATTCAACATGCCATCCACAGCTGTTAAACTGACAGCCTGGCTCTCATAGATAAACAAGCCATGTGAGGCAGCTGCTCCCGGAGCTCACACTGTATTGTACACACATGCACATTCCAGTAACAGGCTCCAATGCAAAAGGAGGTAGACTTCATTGAACACCTTGGCAACCACCCAAGAGCATCCAAGAAGGACTTCTAAAAACATCTTTCATTAATGAACATGTGCAGGTAAGATGAGCAACTCTGCTCCTAGAACTGCTGGTATGTTTCCACTGCCTGTGAGCAAGACTCAGTTGTCATCACTGACTAAACATGCCCAAGGTTTTTACTTGTAGGTTGGCAGGGATGAGCAGTGGTGACCATTGCTTCTTTTCATGGTGACCATTGCTTCTTTTCACCTTGCACTAGGGACTGTATGGAAAAAAAAAAAAATATATATATGTGTGTGTGTATTAGATATATGCACATGTGTATACACTTGTACATGTTCATATATAAAGTATTTTACACATATAAATATATATATATGTATATTTATGGACGTACTCACTTAGAAGAGATGGTATACAGAGGAACAAACTAGCAGGAACATCCTGAAATTCAACAAGGACAAACTTACAGTCCTGCACCTGGCAACAGACAGGCTGGGACCAGAGGGGCTGGGCATCAGCTTTTGGGGACAGCCTTGCACACCGGTGGGCAGCAAGCTGAGCTCGGGCCAGACGTGCACCCAGGCAGCGATGAGGGCCAGCAGCGCACAGGCAGCATGAGCATGACAGAGTCATGAGAGCCACGAGAAGGATCACCCCTCTACTTTCTGCTCACCAACACAGCTGGAATACTGCTCTGAATGCAGGAAAGACACCAACAGAACTGGAACAAGCTCACAGGAGGCTACCAAGACAGCAAAGCTGGACTCATTGCCCTGACAGCAGAGGCTGTGGGACCACAGCCGGTTCATCTGTGAGAAGGGATGGCTTTGGTGGCACCCGACAGCATCTCCAGCACTGACAGGAAAGGACTGAGGAGATGTAGCTGGGCTCTTGCATGGTGGGAGGCTGACAGGCAGTGGGCACAAGCTGAAACATCAGATATTCATGTGGAGATTAAGGACAGGCCAAAAGTGGAGCCAAGGCTCAGAGGCATTGTGCTGTCTCCAAATGTTGGGAGTTTCAAACTCTGACTGTAAAGCCTTGGGCAATGTAGTTCAAATCCAGGGCTAAGTCTCTTTTGGGGAGCGATGTGGACATCTAAAGGTCCTTGCCAGTCTGCACAAGTTGCTGATTCTATCGAAGTACTCAGAACAGGCTGGCTCCTTATCCTATCCTATACTCTTCTGCGTAGAATTAAGGAATAAAAGCATGAATTAAAAAGGTGGAGCTCAAAATAAAAATATCATCAGTAATGAAGGAAACTTACTTGTACTCCAGACTGGTGTCAAAGCAGCAGTCTTCTAGCACATCTAGGGACTTCATTAGAACTAAGTTCATCTGTTGACCGGCTACATCACTGCAAAAACAAAACAGAAAAGAAACCAAAAAATCCAAACCACAGCTCTGTTCTTTAAATCATATAGGATATTAAAGCTCCTGCTAAGACTGAACACTCCAGTAAAGAGAGTTCTTTTCTTGCTGTAACAGGTTCTCATGCTAGTCTGTAAGCAATAACTGTATGACTGGCATGTGTGTCACATTCATATAAACATACTCATATACAAATAATAAAAACATATTCAGACCTTAACCTGCAACCATTGTTCCAACAACACCCAGAAAGAAACGCAGCATCCAGGATTTGTAAAACATGCCTGACAGCAGGAGGAAGATACTGATAGAACATGATCTCAGCTAGACCTGTAACTATTCATAAGCTGAATATTTATACATTTTAAGATATTAGCTCTGTAAATCAATCTCTCCATCTACTTGCCTAACTTACTGATAAAAAAAGGAAGCATTTACAGCTCACTCCAAAGACGTCATAGGGACACCCCTCTTATAAAACACGCACACAGTTTTCTTAATGAACAGGACATCTTTAATGCAAACTAACTCTATGATTCGATATTAGGTATAGGTACACGCCTTCAAGTTTTGCTGTTGTTGCAAGTCAATGCTTGGAAGAATGTGCGAGATTTAGCTTTGAAACTATGCAAGGCAGTGGAAGAATAAAAACTGATACAGTCCACAAGAAATTTTTAGATAAATTTATTAATTTCAACACCCCTCGCCAAACAAACAAAATCCCCACACCAAAATAAAGATTCACATACTCCAAAACACCAAGCTGGTCTAACATCATTCTCTTTAAGAGCCTTTTAATGCTTCTACGTAGCTCAGTTGTCATCACTGACTAATCATCTAGATAGTTCATCCCCAAATTATATGGGTGAGTCAGAGGTAGGAAGGCATCAAGACACTGAAGCACAAAGACTAGAACAGCAATGCTGCACAGTGTTTTAACAAAGGCAGGTGCGTTGGGAAGATTAGTTTCACTGAGCAAATTAACAACTGACAGACAGATCTGTCTGATACCTGTGCTTGTGCACCAATTAAATGTTTATTATGGGTATATAGACAGACAGAATCCATAGTAGTTAAGAAGCTGGAGCAATCTAAAGACAAACCTACTTCTTAATTTGTCTGGAATCACTGGAAATTTGCAACTGATGCCAACTCTTTTGTAAAGGAGGCGTTTTCTACCAACTTCAGAACATCTCTTTGCTGCCAACACAGCTGCAACAGCATGCTTTAAAGACAGCCTGTTATACTACTTCTGTTGTAGCTCCTGCCTCACATGTGTAACTCACATAATGTAAGAGGACGCTATCCAGTGTCCAGAGCACCACTTAGAAAGGAACTGATGAGAACTGTGAATTATTTTGCAGTTAAATCTCCCAGGGCAGCTAGTCCCCTTTAAAAGCATACGTATGGCTCTTCTAGCTGACTGCTTTGCACATGTACCTTGGGATATTAGGAAAATTAATCATTCATCCTGAAAGAATGGCAAAATATCCAGGATAGCACTGCGTGGTGGTGGCAGTGGTGAAGACTGATAACAAAAGACACCTTTTAAGAAATGTTGCAGAGCCCGTCAAGAATTATTTGCCTATGACTTGTAAATACTTTAATTCCTCAAGGCTACATGCAGGAAAAAGAAGGAAGTTATTTGCACACCTACATTACATATGTTAATCCTTACCTGACTTTTTCTTCATACAAACGTGAGATAAACATCCCCAAACCAAGGCCCATGTGGATTTGAACAGCCTGAGACTCATCAGCATTTGATTTCCCAGGCAACCTGTCAGTCAGCATATTCAAGACCTCCTCAATCTTCTCCTTGCATGATACAATAAAAACTGGCACCAGGAGAGATAAAGCAGTGGCTGCACAGGAACGTGCTATAATACTAGCAGTATTTTCACCCGAATAGGATTTCTAGAAAAAAATAAAAAAGAATTTTTTTTCTTTTCCTCTTGGAAGAGGGAAATAAAATTCCTTTCCAGGTAGTAACACTCAGTACTTTAGGCATTTAAAATAAATACCTATACAGCAATCAGCAGCACAGATGTATTGCAATCTGGCAATAAACAGTATTTCATGGAATTGCCTATGGTAACTTTTCCACTTGCCTTACCTTGTAAGCACCTTAAAACTAGGATAATTCAGAATACAATTTCTAAGTGTAAATAAGGTTGTTAAGTATGAAACTGTAAGCAAAGGGTAAGTCAGGATGCAACTAGAACTTAACAGCCAGTCTGCACATAAATACGATGGTCTATTTTAGTTTTCACCTTTGCTGTTAAAATATCCAGCAGCGTGATCAGAAGGGCAAACAGAAATCAGCCATGATGTTAATATAATTCTGTAATTATAACACACCAAGAATATAGAGTTGGAAAAAGCACTACCTTAAAAGCATCAGACCTAGTATGACAAAATATCATGAGATCTTGCAAGATAACCAGTAGAGATGCTTTCTAGAAGAAAGATCCCTTACAAGGTTTTTAATTCCTTTCCTTTTTGGAAGGTAAAATCCATACAGCTACCTCTACTTATAAAGCAATGGACTGATATTAAGTAATAGCCTAATACATAGTTATTAAATTCCACGTGCAACTCTGAAAAGAAAAAAAAAAATCTCATCAGGACGCAAGGCACTCTGAAGACAGTAATTTCTCTTGTGTGTCTTAGAAGTTTACAAGCATAAGATATTTTATTTTTTTTTTTAAACAGAGTGGATTTTAGAAGTGAAACGTCACATTGTTCTATCTCAAAACCACCTTTTTTAAACAGCATTATTTTCAAAGGCAGGACTCACAGAACAATTCAGCAAAAACTGCTGGTGCCAACCAAGTAGCTGTATCTCCTTACGTCCAACCTGTCTAGTGTTTATTTAACACTATTAATACTATTATTTATTAATAATTTATTTATTGATTTGGTGATCTATGTCCCCTATCAATGATGATAGGCGTCATAAGCCAGAGCTGATTCAGGTCCATCAGTAATTTTTAGCTTTTTGGTGCTAACATCTCACTACTGGACTAAACTCAGTTCATGAATGCAGTTAATGAAGTTTCAGACAGAAAACATTATGATACATTAGGAGGCTGGTATTTGGCCTTGTAGGACCTAAACTCCTTTCCGCATCAATGACACAAAGAATCTCCAACCTGGTTGTTTTCACCACAGATAGTCAAGAGTTAGCAATACTTATTCTTTAAGGTCTATACTGAGCTTTCAGTCCATCTCCAGGTCCTACTTCAGAACTGCTTGATACTTATATGGAACATTATGATACATTAGGAGGCTGGTATTTGGCCTTGTAGGACCTAAACTCCTTTCCGCATCAATGACACAAAGAATCTCCAACCTGGTTGTTTTCACCACAGATAGTCAAGAGTTAGCAATACTTATTCTTTAAGGTCTATACTGAGCTTTCAGTCCATCTCCAGGTCCTACTTCAGAACTGCTTGATACTTATATGGCTTGAGAATTTCAGGCTGGTTATCACACTGTAAGCACATATGATACAACTTCTACTGGCCCTCAGGGGTTCAAGAGACACCACAAAATAAGGATCACTGGCTCCATAGCTATTAGATTTTGAGAAAGTATGCATTTCAGATCCCTAACGAATGGTGACAGAATCACTCAAGAATTTGACAGGGTGGTCTGAGGAGAGTCTGTTCATGTTAGAAGGTTTTGTTTAGTATGTACAGGCTGAATATTCTAGGTTTTGAAGGGTTTTTTGTTTTTGTTTTTTAAAAATCTCCTTCATTCATATATCCTCACATGTGGTTTTACTATTTTGGTAATAAAACAAAAACTCAAGACAAACCCAAATATCAGCAGAAAACACAATGAAAAAAAAAGAACAAAATCAAGAAAAGTTTGGGTTTTCCTGTATTGCAACTACTACAGGGCAAACAGAACCAGGAAACTGTACACCAAGAACTCCACGTATGAAATACAGATATATTCTCTTGCCTTTAACACCACAACACGTACCTGGTAGAACCATGGGAAGACTTGACCTTTGGGGCGATAGCGGCTATTCACAATACTAAAGAGCGTCTCCATGACCATAGTAATCCAGTGTTTTGTGGGAAGAAAATCAGCTTCAGTCTGCAAAAATCAAACCCAAATATTTATCATTATTTTTTCTTAAATCAGGTCCTACCTGAACAAAGGCTCAGCAGCTGATGTTCCAGCTATGACCCATTAAGAGTGAGATTATTTTGTCATTCTTATGTACAGTAAGTAGCATGATTTACTTGCCAATGCTGACCCTCCAGACACTACTATTGAACAGGTACTATTCAATGAAAGCAAAAATAATGAGAAAAGAGCCTGGCTGGGCTTCAGTGTCCACTAGACCTCTATCTCATCTGTCAAAACCAACAAATACATGTTAGTGAGTATGTTTCCTGTGAGAAGGTGCCTACACACTCTGACTACTTTTGTTTAGATCACAGAGTAGCTACCGATGGCATTCACTGAGTAAGGTGAAACTTGAACTTCAAAATGTGAAGTACTTCATATCCACTTACCAGCCCCACAAACACCTGGTCATATTGCTTCATTTTATTTCACTAAAAGTAGAGAATCCCGTTCCCAGATTGACTCACCTCAGTCATCCCTTCAGTGTCTGAGGAGAGGCTGCTTTCATATTTGGCTACAGCAACTGCAAGACCAGTTATGGCAAAAATAGAGTTTCCTTTCACCACTGGGCTGTCTCTGGACAGAAAAAGGCAAACAGTTAAGAAGCGTAATAGAGAGGCAGGTAACAAAACATGTAACTCAATGCAGGAAAGTTATGCTACAGGTGGTCCAGGAGGGAAGGCCTTTCCACGTATCAACTTTATTGGGCTGTCTTCTAGCTCAGCAAAAGTCTATTGCATTTCATTGTCAGGAATTAGAGAAAGAATGAAGGAGAGAAGCGCTTCAGTCTTTTTTCTCGTTTGTCTTTTTTATAAAGCCTAGCACACACAAGGTTGTATAAAAATACAGTCTTGCTCCCACTATAATGAGGACTGCCACCTGCAGAGCAAATAGCACTCACAGAAATGCACCAGTTGGTCTTTGCTAGTACAATCTCTACACAGGAGCACACAGAAAGCTTTTCAAACAGAGAATGCTTGACAGGCAGGTGCCACTTCACTGCAACAGCATCTATGCAGGAGATTTAGCAGAGCAGTCATCAATGAAATCTCAGCTTAAAAAAAATGTTTTTAATTACTCCCCTATGCTATGAAAACATTAACATCATGGGAAATGACAGGTTTCAAAGAATATCAACTTCTACCACAGTGCAAATCTTTACTTTTAAGGAACTCAAGAAAAGAAATCTGCCACTTACAAATAAGAGAGAGAATATAACTGTGTTCAGTTTCATGGAAAGATAGATACTGATATCCCACTCATTCCCAGAAAAACACAGTGTAATATAATCCTGCTGGAACTCTTAGTTGTTCTACAATAGCAGCTGAACAATACAACTGTACTAGACCACTTACAGTCTTACACTAGACCAGTACACAGTGTAGTACACTTTTTGCATCAGTCTTCCATTTCTAAAAAATTACTCAACTGTTGCTGTAAAAACACACCTACACTGCAAATCTAGGCAATTGTTCCAGACCCAAAGATCTCATTTGCACAATAAAAATATTTTTGGATTTCTGGTTTGCTTTTTAAAATAAGACACAAAGGTCTTAGTGCAATGTCATTGACCTCTCCTGTTTGGAACACTGAAACTATTTCCTTTCAGATAAGATACCTACAAGTAATTACAACTAGGTGCCTAGTTAAGTTCTTTGAAATTTCCCTGTATCTCTTGCCTTAAATAATTTCCTAATCTCTGTATAGAACCTCTGTTGTTGTTGATCATCAAGTTCTAAAAGGTTACATTTCATGATGTACCTCAAACATAGAGAAACTTCTAAATACACACACTCATGAAAGCTGGATGCTTTAAATTTAATGAAGGTAAAAATCACCATCCTAAGAAGCCGCAAGAGGAAAAAAAGCAGTGTCTTACTCTTTATTGAAAATATGGGGGGAAATGGCAGTATTTTCTTTAAAAAAAGTCAGTAAACACAAGATGTTCTAGAGATGTGATCTATGCACAAGAAATCCTTCTGCTGTTACTTAAAGAAAATTCACCACTCCCTCACAAATTAGGCAATGCTTCTACCTCAACTAGTTTTGCTAACGAACTTCTATAACTAAAATCATAACTTTAATCTTGAGACATAGAATAAAGTTTATTATTTTTTTCCACCTTTATCTACCTCTTTCTACTACCCTACTTTAACACATGTATTTATTGAGGACCTAAAATAGCAAACAGATCACCCAATTTCAACCTCATTTAACTGACTCCTTCAAGATGGACTGACATGCAAGGAAATGGAACAGCTGGGATTATTTTGAATAGCTGAACAATGATAAGTTAAAAAAGGAGAAAGTTCAAACCTTTATAGGAAGTCTTAATTAAAATCTCCAGAACTCTCAACTCGCAAAAATATTTTCAACTAGTCTTTGACATATTTACATTACCAATGTTGAAACAGTCTGTGAGATTTCACTGTAATTCTTTCATTGATGACATCTTTATGAATTAAGATTTTCTAAGTACTTGTTCTTATGAGGATTCACTATTTCTGACACTTTTGCTTAACCTGGTGCAAGTGGTCAATTTCAGGTTAACCAAGGGCAAAGCATAATAAGAAGCCAGCTGCCAGTGGAGAGCAAAAGGAAGAAGTCAAGCAACTTTAGCAGTCTATGAAAGAAGGCTGAGACACATATTCCTGCCTGAAAGCCATGTGCCAATTCTAACAGCAAATGAACAAGCCTGTCACAATCTGAAAACATGTAATTTCCTGCCTTTCGTGGCATCTTGGCACAAGAAAGACACCTTAACAGAAAGTGGCACAGTTTTGAAGAGCTCATACTCCACTAAAGACCAGCCAACTTCTACATAAGTGAAGCTACTTGAGGCAAAGAGTCTGCTAGTTAAAAAAAGAACAGACTAATAATGCATACAGCACAACCCAAGCATTACTCAAAACATTAGGCATCAGGCAGACACAGTCAGTGGTAAAAATCTCAAAACATACAGTGCGGAAGAGTTTCTTTCCTGACAGCAGTCATGCAAAATCATGAAACTGGCAGATAACCAATTGCCAAAAGTATTATCTTACATCTTCTGCCACAAAAGAGAACTCACTTTTATCTGTAATAAATTAGCAATTCTTACTTGGAAGAACCTTTGATGACATCAGTCAACATATCTCTGACCCTGCAACAGAAACAGAAAGAATTTACACCACATTCATTATACTATAGCATGAACTCAGCTCATTTCCCCTTATGCCTTACACATGTCCATTCTAGGTTAACAATTATCTCATCCAGCTATCACAAGATATAGCACAAATTAATCACAAGCATTAAAACTGGAAAAGTGCTTACGTACCACCCAACATTTCTTCATGTTTGTGTGCACTCCTAATGTTTTATAAAGGGCTCTTGACTTCATACCAGTTTTTGTACAATGCAGGTTCATGCAATAGCCACAAATCTGTTCTTCGAGCTGTCACACATGAGCTTCCAGATCACTGTGCTATGTCTTAGCATAATAAAATCAGAACGTTTTACAATGAATAACCACAACAATTTATCCAACACTTACTATAGTCCTGGAAACCACTATGGGCAGTTACGCTATTAGGCAGTATAGTAAGCTGAATCCATTTAAAATGAAAGCCATAGGAGTAGTTACAATTTCTTACACATTACTGTAGTCAATTTATAATAGCCTACTTGTCTGCATTTGTTGAGTTTTGCATTCATATCAAGACAGAAGTAGAGATGCAGTGAATCTTCTACGTTGCCAGGTTTGGGTGAAGAAAGATCCTCTATACTACAACTTACAATACCATCCTGGCCATGACTGTTGTCCTATAGAAAAAGATACACTCCAATCACAGTTTTTTAAGACTCAAAATGCATGCCTCGTAAAATAGGGCCGTATGTTAGAAGACTAAGTTATAATCAGGCTTTAACAGAAACCTACTCAGGCTTTAAAAGAAACCTACTTGGCCTTTCCTTCATAACCACACTGGTTTTGCACACAGTTTCAAACCCACCTACATTAGAAACGGTTACACCAACTTGGCAAATACCAACGCAAAACTGCACAGTACTTACACAATAAAGCACTAACACTAAAGTTTATATCAAGCTGTCCACAATCAGGTTAAACCCAGTGGGCAGCACAAGTGCTTAACGGGTACTGAAGTTAGAGCCCTGAAGCACCAAGCAATTAAGGGGGAACAGGAAAAGACATGAAAGCTAATACCAGGCTCCCAGTTCACTTATTGTTTTGATTTCTCTACTGTTAAAGGGAATTCTGTTCATTTTTGACATAGCTTACATTAACACTATTTAGGAAATACAGAGCAGAAATTGGTTCAGTATTCAGCAGCATTGTTACAAGCATTCTTCTCACCTGGAAAACATTTTCTCCTTCTCAACCCTATCAAGAAAGGGATTGGGCACAGCAACAACAGAAAATTGTGCCACTACTACATACAGAATCTCTTCTACGATATCATATCATTCTGGATCCTACTATGAAACCCTCTAGTCTAGATTTAGCTGCAATAAAAACAACAGACAAAAATTTTGTATTCCTCTTGATTGGGACTCACTAACACCTTTTTGAATGAAACAGGTTAAGGGCATTTTGGTTGTATTTGTACATACTTTGTTCCCAATGCATTTATAAACAAGCACAGAAACAGTTATTTACACTGTCCATGGATTCGTAGTTCTTTCTCCCTGTGAAGCCTCCCACATCCCACCTTGTCCCCCTGGCCACGCACATACATGGCCAAATCCTGAGAGACACTCCTCAGCTGACTGAAACAGTAGTTGAGGATATGGAACAGATGGTGCACCATGTGCTTGGTTTTAAACAACATTCTCAGGCTCAACATTGCCAACGTACTACATGAACTGAGATGTGCCTCAGTTCACTATGACCTACATCATACCATAGCTTACATTTCTTTTATCAAGTCATTTTCAGTGAGATAGCTCACTTAATCTCTACAAGTAAGTTTTGCTCTTTGCATAATCCTTCTGCTTTAACATGACAGAAAACACACACAGTTTTCCATTCCTTCCAGCTGCTCACCCTATGAAGTTTCAGACACTGTAGAAGGGCAAGTACCTGTGAATCTGTACATACGGGAATCCTTACAGAAGGTTACCCAGTAGTATCTTTCTTTCTGCCTCACCTTGATCGTTGTTTCTGGTCATTTTTTGGTTTTTAGGTTTTTTCCGTTAGTGCTCATACAGTCTTTAAATTTGCAAAACCGCACGCGTTGAAGTCTTGCCCTCCTCTGCCCCCTCACTTGCCATCATAAGTGATCAGGAGCAGACACACACTTCCTTACCAGAGCCAGGCTGTAAACTGTTTGTACTGCACCTCTTCAGGATCCTCTTTTCCATGTTTTAACTGCATCTCCAGCTCTGCCTGTCTCCCCTACAGAATTACAGAGTAAGTCAGAAGTGGATCTTACATGGCCAATCATCATAAGATTTCTTCAGAGAACACTTAGGTAACGGATGTAGCCTTTCACTTGAGGGCCACTTCATCAGTGAACTTGACTGCTTTTCATATGGGATCCCACTGTAATATACAACATATTAAGTAAAAGAACTCAATTTTTTATTCTGAGTGAGGAAAACATGCTGCAGATGGCACAAACAGCCACAGATACCAAGACATCTCTCCTAGTCCATGCAAAGGGACAAGTTCCCTTGGGAAGGGGTACAACAAGCAGGGTATGAGATTTAGAACCCTGCTAGCTAAAATGGATTCTAACAGCACAACATCACTTTCTTGATTCACTTCTTAAAGCAGAATTCCTCATCCTTCTCCTTTCTATGACCCTAGCCTTCCTGTGACCTACAACAGCTCTTTCCGTACCTTAAAGGAGATTATATGGATTCTGGCCTCTAACAACTGTTATCTAAATATACTAAGCAGCTTTGCTTTAATGTTCAGTCTCCAGTCATGAGACAACTATATCTCAACTTGTTTTGGCTGCCAGTTACTTCTCCTTAGTAGGTTATTGAGCCTTAAGTGAAAAATACAGGCACATAAACTGTGGTTTTCAGGTACTGAACACTTGTAGTTCGGATGTGCATAAAAAGCTCAGAATACAAGAGAGTGAAACCTGTAAATCCAGATGTCACTCAAAAAGTGACTCTCCACAGAGATTAAAGGAGCATATACAACACACTGACTAAAGAGAGCGTTGCATAAAAACTACGCAAAAACCTACTGCAATTTCCCTAAAAACATAAACATTAGCTTAAGTTCTGTACTAAATCAAGACTCGTAGGATCATCATGGTGAGGTTGATTTCAGTCTCAAAAACATGCTGAATGCACAAACTGGCAGAAGTGCTTAAGCATGTGAGTAGATGTAATAAAAGATAAGAGGACTTTCAGGTGTCCAAAGGGAAAAAAAATCCTCACACCAGTGTTTTGGTGAACTAGACTCTATGAGCGTCTGCCTCCAAACTGTAGAAATCATTAGTCTACTAGCTGTTCAGAAATACTGAATTATGTACTACACAGACTACTCATCTTACACTGTAGTGTCTTTTGGCCATCTCAGATAAACTGTACTATAGAAGCCTAAGGAGTAAGTAAAGATACTAGATCTCCAGTAAGGGACTTTATAAGCAACAAAAATAGGCTCTATTGCCCTGTAAAATGGCAATAAACCTAGAGAGGCTTTCAGAAACAAGTCTGGTAAATGTGAAGCTTCTCATGAAATATTGCCTCAGAGGGGAAGTAAAACAGGAAAGTAATTAAATGCAAGCAACAATTGCCCCCTCTGTAGTTATAATCTAAAATTACTATTTGAATAGCCGCTACCTGCTCAGTAAGGGGGCTGGACCAGCTTAGAATCTGTATTTTGCTGATGGTTGAGATAAAATTTGTTTTGAAAATGTTAGAGAAGCATGTGTTTTGCTGCACAGCAAAACAAGGAATAGTCAAAGCTTCTGAATTCGCTCAGCAACCTGAGCTGCTCACACTGAAAACAGCTGATGTGGCCTGGAAATACAAACAAATAAGGACTTCTCATAGCACAAAGAGAGCCTTCTAGAAGGCATCTATTTGTTTTTTTATATCATTTTCCTGTTGAAAAACCAAATGACACTACATTGCTCCAGATATCAGGTCAGCTAACCTAATGAAAGAGAGGTTTTAAGATATTTTCTAATTATGAGATAGGACAGAAAATCAAAAGACCAGTCCCTTCCAGTGTGACAGCCTTACATGCTGGTTAAGAGAAGTTCTGTTTAATGAATCACTCCACGATAGCTTCTGTCTCCTTCATGATATTACTACCAAATTCCTACCCAAACTACTAGGTTAGAGCTCTAGCTAAAATTTCACATTCTAAAAATTCTAAGAATTGACACATTCTGCAACTTGACACAGGAATAAGACTGCAAGAACCTGAAGCAGATGTTATACTTCTACAAAGTATCCCAGATTGTGCTGCCATTAACTGAAGACTCAATTTTATTTCCTTTTGACAAATTTTATTCTAAACACCTCAAGTTTTATTTTTCAATTATTTTAACTTGCATGGGTACCCTTACTGCTAAAAATAAAACCCATATCACTTGAATGAGCATTAACGTGCACAACATTATGTACCTCGAATTTACCTGAAGGACTGCACTGTAGGTTCGACTCATAAATCCTAACCAGGACTGTGGCAGCTGTATGGCACGGTGCCATTCAGAAGGCTGAATGTTAACCTGAAAGGGTAGAAGCGGTTACATTAAGTCTAACATATGCAGAATGTATGTTCTCCAATTTGTGATTTGCAGGCAACCATTTGCTCACACCCATAGGCCATTACACATGGCTGTAGAAAACTAAAATGATTATGTACTTTGTTCTCCTTTCTGGTTCTACCCACACCAAGTTACTTTCAACTTCATTACTCAGGCCAGACAAAATTGGTTGCTTCAGGTAGTTCAACAGATAATTGATCCCAGAGAGAGCAGTGGAATTATATGTGGCAATAAGCAAAACACTTGGTAGTGTTGGTAGACAAAAATAGGCACATAACAATGATGTTAGTGCAGTTTATGTTTATCATAGTTATTGTAAATCTTAGGTGCTTCTAAAAGCTTTAAACAGACACTTAAAATAAACACAAGTAGATGACCATCTAAATAAAAGGGAGATTATTCAAAAGAAGTTAGTATCTGTGACTGGGGTTTATATAACTATGTTCAAGTACATAGTTCAAACTTCCTTTAAGGAAAGGAACCATTAAAAAAAACCTAGAATCACAAAGTTTCTTTCTAGGAAGCACCATTATAGAACTAACAGGAGGAAAACAACACTGCCTCAAAGACAGTTTAAAGAAATATGCAACAGCTCTCCCTGCCTGCCTCCAAATCTCACACAGGTATGACAGCCTCAACTTCACAGCAAAAGGGTAGCCCAGTCAACTACACAATCTGATGTATGTATACAGACTTTCCTCCAGAGTCCAAGGTTGTTGTCTTCAGTAAGCATCATAGCAAATTGACTCAAAGACTTTTTCAGAGCATGTTGAAAAACCAAAATGAAGTCAAGTGATCTCAGTAACAAGCCATTTTCTAGCCCTTGGGAGGGGTTGGAAAAATTAATGGAGCAATTACAGGGTTAAGTTAAACAGAACTGGTCACAAATTCAAGGCCACCAAGAAAGTTTTTCCAGACTTCAGAGACTTGTATGATGAATGTACCTCCCCCTCTCTGCAATTTCCATGTTACGTAACTTATAAATCAAAATATATTAATTCACAAAAAATGTGTATCACAACTAATTAGAAGAGCCTCTATTTCCCTCTCTCCATGACTATCTGAATTGCAGCAATATTTTATTAAAGTAAGCTAGGCGTTCAGGTGTCCTCTGCTTTTAAACTGCTGTGTTTTCAGATCCACAAACAACATAAGCTCCATAACTAAAATGATGGGTGTGCATTGTTGTATCTCATCATATTCCACAGTGGGCATACAAAATTGATTTTTCTTGCTACCGTCCAATTATTTCTACTATCTGCCTCTACCAAAAATACAAAAAATGTCATCACAGCCATCACAATCCATCCAATGGACTCCATTGGAAATAAGTTACTTAATCTCAGCAGTTTCCAAAGTAATTAGTTTTTAAGGTAAACATGTCAGGTTGAGGTGAGATAGGATAGACATTAGTATCTGCTGTTCAGGGCCTACACTTTCTATTTCTAAATTAAAAGAACATGCCAGACTCCCCAAGTTATGGAAAAACCCTGTGAGCTGTGATGCAAAATTGTGCAAAGCCCACAGTTAATCACTGCTAACATGTAAAACACTCCATGCCTCAAGGTATGTAAAACTCCTTTCTCCATCATGTGGTCCACTGGCCTCCTCTGTACAGAATGGTTAACCAAGATAAACAACTGAACTTCTCCTGTCTGTTAATGATCTTCCTGAGTCTTCCTGCTTCATCTCCTCTATTTTACACCCCTCATGATCTACATAAAGCAGTCAAAATTCTTTCTTTACATGGATTTAATAACAAAAAACAAAGGACTGTGCTAAAGCTTCATGCCTACTGTCAGTGGTGAACTTAAAACAGTTTTGTGTAAGTACTAATACATCTATTCAAATAAATACAATCTAAAAGTCAACCAATCAAGAGAGATGACGTACTCTACCCCACAAAAAGAAATCTCATCTTTAAATGACTCAATAATACTAGTCCTTCTTTTTTAGACAAAATTTTATTCACACCCTCCCCAAATCTCTGCTCATCAATTCCTCCAGCAAGCTGCAGAGCAGTCAAGGCTCCAGTCAGAATTGTTTGCCTTAGGTTCCTCAGGAATCTGCAGAAACTCAATTCTTCCCCTTTGCCTCTAGTCTGAACCTATTTTAGACTTGTACATTTAGATTTGTCTTGTCTCACAGTGATCTATGAAGTTCACCATGTAATCCACAGTTGCGCACCAGAGCAAAAGGAGACTTTCAAAACACTTCAGGTGCTCATGCACGAAATTTAAAGCTTTAAGTGTATTGCTGCATTTAAAGCAACTAGACAACATGGTCTAATCAGGAACATATTATTAGCGCCTTGGTCATCTTATCTAACATTCACAGCTGTGCTTGATGACCATCAGAACTGCTGAGCGGCTTTTGATTAATTAACTTCCTTCATGGCAATAACATTTTGTAGATATGTGGAATGAGAGAAAGACAGAATAACAGAACATCTTCATATAACAAAGAACACTCAAGTAAAATTCATCTACGACTGAAAATGACTGGACATAGTGCTGAAGATTATCACATAAGCTATTTTAGTACAGGAAATCAGCAGTCTTTACTTCTCCACTATCACTGGAAACACAATGGTAACAACAACTACATTAAGTGCTGGTTAACTAATACTAGCAGGCATAGACAAAGCTGACAATAAGTAAAGTTCAAATTCTTTTGAATGCACAATTTACATGTAAGAAGATATTGGGTGGGTGGGAGGCACAGGGAAGGAGGCTCAAGGGACTTCTGAACCAACAATAAGTGGCTGTGAAACACTGCCACACTGCTCCCGTGAAGTCCTTAGGAGGCAGCATAGCCAGACCAGGCTGCCAAGTAGTTTTCAGTGAAGAGCTGAAGCCTGACATCTGAGGCAGTAAGAAACGGCATGAGCTAGGAGCTAGTAACCTGAGCCTGTTGATTAATGCTTAAGAAGGACATGTCTCCCTGAAAAGACACGCAAGCATACACTACATTGGCCAAAACTCAAGACAAGGAATGCCAGCGAACCACTGGAGATACTACTCCTGCACTTCAACACTTCTGAATACACATGGCACAAGTTCTGCATGCTTCTGTAAGACTGGAAAGTAATTTCAAACAAAATCAGAAGCTCATTTCCCCTCTTCAGTGTACTCCCAATACAAAACAAACACTGTGTCAAGTTCTGGATGAACTTTCCTTCAGCACTGGTGCCTTTGTGCTGCCACAGATCTTGGTACATCGCTCACTCGTTTTGCGCTGATACACACACCCAGCAGAGGGCACACAAGAGAAATCTAGGGAACAGTGGAATTGAGCATCTTTCTGTCATCTCCTTGGGTACCTAATTGAGACAGTACTGTTTAAAGAACCTAGAAACTATGATGTTAATATTTATGGCCCATCTTAAAATATGCTGTAAAACGGGGAGCCTGGGAATGCCAGTAAGTTCTTTTACTAAGTATAACAGGTTTCCACCTCAATAGCCCTGCCAACTCATATGATCCCTAAATTCAGCTCATCTGTAACAAATATGTGGCTGTGAAAACGTGTTTTAGACAACACCAGTATGTCAGTGAAATGTTTAGGCATGTATTTAAATGCCTTTCTCACATATGAGACATACAAACGGCAGCCTCAGTGACTTAATAAATAAGGCTAGCATTACATATCCGTATCAATGAAATAGTGAAGTAGCATCTCTCATCTCAAATTTTGCTTAGAGGCTCTTTTTAACACATTAGCATGCATACACTTCCAAACCCTCTCCAAGCATTTGTTTGTGAGAATGCTTGTGTCTTTCTCCAAGGCACATTAGTCTGAGGAGAAAAAAAAATAATAATCTGTCAACAAACTTACTTCCTCAATACTGTTCCATCACTGGAGGGGATACATTCAGTTAATTCAGCAGTGGAAACCAGCACAAAGTGGTTCATAATCTGAACTACAGCCATTGAAATACTTAGACATAGAAGAATAAACTGCAGTGAAATCCGTTCCAGAAAATCCAATTATTATCTCAAAGTATTTCACGTACAAAGTTTGAATAAGCCCTTGAATCTCTTATTTACATCAAAATCAGGAAAGAAATGTACAGAAGGAGCTTTCCCCTGCAGTGCTCAAAGGTGCATGTCACCATAGCACATCTAATGAATGCACTTAAAACAGAAGCAGGGAATGCTTCTTCCATGAGTACACCGAGTGCCTAACATGATTATTATTTCTACAGCAGTATTTAATACTCTACAACTCGCCACTGGCACTCAACTTTGCAAATGTGCCTGTAAACATTACTAATTATTGCAGCAAAATAACTCCTATTTCCAACACAAAGCAAGCACTTGAATGTTGAGAAACATGCAAAGGCAAGACCATCCTCCTTTATTTTCAAAACATCGCACCAGTTCAGACTGTCAAAGCCACCATTTACCACATCTATGTGCCAAAAGCAGGCTGTCTCTGTGCTTTTTGCATGTAGCATGAACTGTTCTTTAGTGGAGGTGAAGGGAAAAGATGGGTACCTAGCTGAAAGCCTAGTAACTTTAATCCAAAACATACCTTTACAGAACCATCAAAACATACAGTACATTACGTGAACATATGTGACCATTCATCCTCACTCTCACAACAGAGATAAGTGATGCTGGTAAGAGCTTATTCCTATAAACTCCTAGGAAGAATTACTCAAAAAATGGGAACAGTCACAGGTAATTATTAGCTAATCTAGCCCAGGTGACCATGGTAAATCTCAGGGACTTCTTGTATAGTATGATCCAGGCAGCTGTAGAGAAAACAAAGAAAACCCATGGTCTGTGCAACTTCTGACCACTGTGACTACAGTAACTTACACGTCCTCTCAAAGAGAGTTTAACAAGCTCTGTTTAATAATCAAAGAGCAAGCATATCCCCCTTTCTGGGGGAAAGCTGATCTTCCTCTTTCAAGCCACCAGTAACCAGTAAAGAGCAACACAGCATTTCAAACACACCACTGTTTATTGAAAATACGTTCTGCCTCCCATGAGATACCAGTTCAAATAACATCAAAAACCCTTCTGCGTCTTAATCTGATCCTGCTGACAGGTATTACAGCTGCATCCAATCCCTCAGTCAGAATAGCACGTAGGAGACAGAATTAAGTCTGGCCCATTAAGGTTTAACAATAAATTATGTTTTTACTCTTGTTGTTACTGCTGGATTTGAATAGCAGTTAAACCCAGGTATTTGTTATTTGTATGCTTTACAGACTTTTAAACACACAAGAAACATACTTCTTGCCTCTGCATACAAACCTCATGTAACATTTTTTTTTGGTAGCAGAATCTCAGGCATCACACTTTTACACATAAAGAATCTCACAAAAATGAAACTGATTGCCTCAATCCCCTTCCCATACCCCAGTTTTCAAAAAAATGAAGTGTAATAATGGCAACTAAGCATACACAGGTAGAGACAGATATGCAACCTGTAGGTTCATATTCTACAGATGTGAGCATACGTCAAATCACTGAAGAGATAAAAAAGTTATTATCCCAGTATGGCAATTATGTTGATGACTGCTAATCCCTAACTAAGGAATGTCAACTGCTGGGGATTTTTAGAGATAAAATAAATGGATGCTTGCTATCTCCTAGTTAATTGTCACTTCTTGGTGTTTACATCCACCTCAGTTTTCTCAGAGCTTTATGCTGTCAGTAATGCTTCCAAAGAAACTTTAAATCTTTTTAACAAAATGCTTCTTATTTTACTTAAAAAGTAAAACTCTAAGAGTTAACATTCCCCCCACTCCCCCAAAATAAAAAGGAGTCAAAGCAGTAGCAAAAAAGCGTCATTCTAGTAACTTAAACTCCCTAAACAAATGGCTTAATGTCCTGTGTTGAACCAAATAATCGTTTAGGTTGGAAGGGACCTTTAAGATCATTGAGTCCAACCATAAACGTAGCATGACCAAGTCCACCACTAAACCATGTTCCTAAGCACCATGCCTACACATCTTTTAAATACCTCCAGGGATGGTGACTCCACCACTTCCCTGCGCCGCCTGTTCCAATGCTTGACAACCCTTTCAGTGATGCAAGTTTTCCTAATATCCAATCTAAAGCTCTCTTGGTGCAACTTGAGGCCATTTCTTCTTCTCCTATCACTTGTTACTTGAGAGAAGAGACCAACCCCCACCTCACTACAACCTCCTTTCAGGTTGTTGTAGAGAGCAATCAGGTCTCCCCTCAGCCTCCTTTTCTCCAGACTAAACAACTTTTTTTAGCATGGTATTAAAACATGTTAATTCCCATAGCCACTAGAGGGAAAAGATGAGCCTAGGTTCTACTAACTCAATTTTCTTAGATCAATACCGCTATTTGATAGCTTTATAGCTTAAGCTGCCTGTTTTTACTGTTAAACTCTGCTCCCCAGAAGAACACCACGGACTAAACAAACACTAAGGCACCAAATTCAGTTGTATGATCCCAGGGACTTGCTTCTCTTCAAGCCAAAGGCCCAAATACCTTTTTCCTCACAACTCTAATTCCAACTGTCTCTGTGTACAAGGGAAAAAAAGGCAAGAAAAACCTTTTTTTTGTCTTTTAAAGCAGTGTAAGTTGAGAACAGAAATACTGATATATTTTGATCAACATTTTATTATTATTTGTGAATTTTCAATGAAAGGGTGCAGTTAGGATCATCTGAAGATGTTTTGCATTTAGGTTTATATTTCAAACACACTTGGATTTCCTCTTAGTTTTACTACACCTGTAATCAATGAATTTTGTAAAATACTAAGATACTTAATAAAGTATTTCTGTCTTCAGTCATTGGTATGTATTTACTAACGCCATCCACTCACCACATTCAATAAAAACCCCACACTTTGTCAAACAAACCATTTTAAGGTTGTGTTTCTATGAAGGTAGCTTGTTAGCACAAGAAAAGTCCATTTCTGCTGTGCTGCTGGTTGTTATAATCACTGCTAGTACACACAAATAGATAATTTCATTTTTCTATCAGAGATTGCATTTGGTGCTTTAGTAGGGCAACAGGCGAGTGTTTACAACATAGTAGTTTAGAACTGATCTTCATACCACTGTAATTTGGCTTATATAACACTTTAATACATGCCTTTTAGTATAATATAATTAAATATGTTTTTCTCCAGAACCTCTAGCACTGCACCCAGGTCCCATTGAATGAAGCAACTACACAGACGGCAGAGCTTTTCTTTATGGATGCTATGCAAGCCCACGCTTCATTCATAACTCATTACTCTAAATCTGCTCCTCTGACATATTTTGCAATATCCTTGTGGACCTCCCCTGGCGCTCTCCACTGCAGCATCCAAGTAGTTAGAAAACATTCATTTACTTGCACATTCCTGTGATGATGAGGGATATTATCTCCAGTTCCTGCTTTCATTCTTTAGCAGTAGAGATGTCAAGATGGAAAATATCGATGAAATTTGCATACATGATTAGATACCTTGAGAACTGTGTTTAAGGGTGGGCTTTGGTTTTCATTTTCACTAGTTTGACAGAAGAACTTGCCATCTGAAGCACTTCATAACTGACACTGTCTTTATAACACAGCACCAGGGAGGGATTTCTATACCCGAGTCCAACTGGTGCAGACCGGCTTTTGCCCTTGTACCACTTGACCTAACTTCTACTGGGATCCATGTGGTGTCCCTGCAGCCACAAGACATGATTATTACTTTCTGTAGCTTTTCAGTTCAGAAGGACCAAAATGATAAGATGTTGTACAATAGGTAAAAATTTTATGTGTACACTAGCACGTGAAAATGTTTGCGAGTTGGTACAGAGCTGGAAGACTGCACTAGACAGAAGCAGCCAATTTCAGCATGGTACACATTCATATTGCCTGGGAACTTCAGGCAAACTATGCTGCAGACAGGTTTGCTAAAGAGGAAACTAGTTCGTTTGCTCCAAAGAGACCAAGGGAGTTAACCAATGCAGTATGAACAAGCAGGGAGCAAGACCTGAGAGCAAAGCCAGGCAGGAGCCATGTGGATGCATCATAGGATCAGAATGTAGCTCCCATGCATCTTCCACTGCAGACATCTATGTTCTGTGTCAGGCTTCCAGTTTGTAAACAGAAAACTCTCCAAACCCTGTGCACGTAACCTTCCCTCTCAAGCCCTGCGCTATACTTATTTCATAACTGAAAGTGTTTGGTGTCAGTAATTTTTATTAGCTTCATAAAGGAATTTCACAGCAGGTAGGCTCCAGGTCTGTTGGGTGTCAGTCACAAACCAAAATAAGGATCCACACACGATCGCACCTGCAACCCATATCTCTTTCATTCTACCTCTTCCAACTTCTGCAACAAGTACACTATAAGTATTAGATAAAACACTTCCTTTTATTACACAGTTCTGGTTCGCTGTCAACACAGGATCCGTCCTGTGCTCTGAAGAAAAGGCTCCTCTGTGCAAAACAGCACACAATCAAATTATCTTTAATGGGACCAAATTGCCTATACGTGGCACAGAGAAAGGAGTAGTAATGGGACCGTTTAAGCTTTTCTAGCCTTGAAAAGCAGATCAGGAATTGATGTTGCTGTGGGGCGGGGAGGGGAATAAATCTTTAAAATGTCCAGATATTCATACACTGTTTTAATTTCTGGACATACTGCCTAAGACTCAATCTGAATTTTATAGGGTTTTTTTTAATCATTATCTATGCACTCTTGCTCATATCAGACTGATACAATTCATACATTCTTATTTATGTCCACTGAGCAGAAACTTCACCGTCAGATGCATGCAATTAACCTCTGCAGTAATACAAAATGATTGTATTAACAATTATTTCAAGAACTTTTAAAGAGATTAATACACTTCCACTTGTGTTAGTAACTGCTCTCACTTGTATAAAATTGGGAAAGGAACACTTACTTCCCTGGATCCAGCTTAACTATTTATTTGTTCTACTGCTCTCCAAAATTCCCATCATTGTTCACACCTGCTATTCACCTACAACTGGCTACGTATGACAGGTATGGGCAGGTATAGTAGTCTGCAATGCAGATAAAGGCAAAGGTCAGCTTCTGTTTGTTCTACTGATTTTCAGAAGAGGTACTTCAGCAGTGAACACTTAAAAGTATTTACATGTCCAATTTAAGGTAGCTGTCCCTCACAGCAACTTAATTATGATACGTTCATACATGCCATTGCTAGCTGATACTGTTTCAATTCCTGATTAGCATAGACAATAACGCAGGGAAGGAAGCATAATACTTCTGAAAAGGGAAGAAAAGCCAGCAACTTACCTCATGAATGAGGGCTACCAACATTTGCTGGAAATTGCGTCCCCTGCTGGCCAGAAATCGATTAATAGGCTTGCCATCTTTGCCCATATGGACTGGAAGGTCATAACAGAACAACATGCCAGCTTGAAGAGGGAGGGAAGAGGAAAAGAAAGGTCAATACCAATACACCTGCTCATAGTTCAGAAGTCTTGCATAAGTCAGTGGAGAATCCAAAGCAAAGTAAAGTTCACTTAATAAAGTCAACAGCTTAAAAGCCCATGAAAGCATATGCAAGTGGCAAAAGACCTCATTGTTTCTTAAACTGATTCACTCGGAGATTCATAGAAATCTTTAGGTCAAAGCGTATATACTTGTTTAACTTCAAGAAAGTGACAGCTTACCTGCAAGGCCTGGTGTCATGCCTGGTTGGTTGTTCCTCTCATACATTTTCAGCAAGAAGTTTGGAACGCCTGCCACAGTCTTCCCCTGGTCTGAGCGTGTGGTCCCTCCTCTCAGGGCAGAATGATACACACCACGGGGCATGTTGGTCATCTCCTGTTTCACAAGTGATGCTGCAAACTCTTCAAATGCTGGATGCAGTGCAAGAAAAATGAGGAGCGAGGAAAGGGAATGTCAGAGCCTGATGACTGAGAGACCAAACTCTGGAAAACCCCAAATGCCACCTGTGCTTCAGGGGACATACGCTTAGATAAACTAGTAATGGCACATTCAGATGAAAGCTCAAGGTCAAAGACTTAACAACTCACTGCCACTGCAACTTCAAGAGGCTCTGAGTAAGTCACGTCAGGTACTAAGACTGGGAAGAAAAATAGCCTTTATTCCATGACCTGTTGATTGCATTCTTTGACTGCTACACCAATAACACTGCCATGTGCTGACAGAAGGACAATGAGAAATGAAACTGACATTTACCAACATAGTGAAAAATATTGTCTCTAAAACTAGGTTGTTCTTAAGCACACTGCCAAGGGTAGATGGAGAGACAGTGTGTATATGCAAATGGAGGATGCAGAGTGAGAAAGATCACCTTGATTTCTGTTACCATAGCAGTACAAATTGTTTATTAAGTTCTATGCTCTCAAGCTATGCATTTTATAGTCTAACTAGGATTAAAATTATACAGAACCATTATAAAGTTATTGTTGAGTTGTGAAGTCCATCTGAAGCAGCTTTTACAGGAACATGTTAGAAAAAAGGATTGTGTTTCTGTATGTACCATGTCCGTCATCTATGTACTGCATCATGTTTCTTACCACATCACAACTGAGAGCCAACATTGTACCAGCACCTTCCAAACCTGGTATGTTTATCAGTCTGTTACTGCTTTTCTAATACAACCGAGGTTTAAAGGGATTTAGAACAACTGTTTCATACTAAGCTTGGAACTTTGACATACAAGTTCCCAAATCACAAGCAGTCCTACTTTGACTAGGAATTAGAAGACAAAGGGGACAAAAGGGCACTCACTCATCCTTTCTGGGTCCTAGAAAAACCTATGGCAGCTTGGAATAAAATAGTTTTATACTGGAACTTCCTCATATTTCCTATTTTCAGCAAGTTACAATAATAAGTAATAATAAGCATCCGGCTTTACCGATAGCACAGATAAGGATTTTTAAGTTATAAGTATTTTTTTCACTATCAGGACGTCTGACCCACTGTCTTCCTAAAAATGGGTTGAAGGTTCTGTTCTCCTCTGAGCTTTCACTTTACGTTTTTTCCTGTAATTTGGTAAGATATTTTCCCAGGGAAGGAAAAAAAAAAATCCAAGGCTGCACTATAACAGGATCCTCCATTATAAAAAAGTCACATGTCTGTATAGTCACTGTGATTATAAATCTGCAAAGTAACCTCAAATACTGAACATATTATACCTCCTAAGACAGAAGCTGGCGTCAGAGACAACAGCTTGATATATGAAGAACCTGGAACAAAAAGACACGCCTCCTTCTGTTCTTCTTCATCTTCATTCATGTCTGCCTCCTCCAGTGAGTCAACTTCTGGTCGTGCCTGAAAGATTAAAGAAAAAAGAAATGTCAGCATAAAAATTCTAAATCCTCATTACCTTTCATGATTTCAAGTGTCAAATCAAGTGTCAAAAATGCCAACTAAATACGTAAAGTTTCCCATTTCATTAATTCCACTCCATCTGATTAATATGAAGCTGAAAGAATAAAAGCTTTTCTTCTACCTGAAAGGTAAAACTGATTGATAAAAATCACATGGGTATGTAAATCCATATCTGTAATAGTAAAATTAATCTTTACACTTACAGACTAAACTAATATTACTAAAATTTCATTTTTACTCTGATTCTTCTTCAATTAGAGCAAAACGCTGTTCTATATTGGCACTTTAACACACACAGAACAGATCTGCTAAATGTTATTTTTCCATACTAGTTTCCAGAATTTGAAAAACTGCACCTTGTTTACCATGCTTTCAATACAAATACATTTTCTCATTTTCTAATGAGTGTAAAGTAAAAGCACCAATAATACAGAGCTATGTACTACAGTGAAAGATTTAGTATTGCGGCAGTGTTTAGAGATTTCCCTGACTCTACCTTGTGCTCTTCTATGCAAAACACGTTAATTTGCAAGGTTTATGCTGAACTCTTTTCATTGATTTATAAAAGTAAAAAAATATACTTGCTTTATAAAGATGCTAATTCCAACCTTTTTATAATAGACAGTTACAGCACGCAAATGGAGCCAATCTTGTAACAATGCAGTAAATAAAAACTTACAGAAGTATTTACCATGTCATAAAATACCAATGGACTACTGATTATTGCCTAGTCTGTATTACAAGGGTATTGCAAAAAAAAAAAGCAAGCACATAGATGACCTTCTATGTTCATCTCCTTGCACTCTCTTTCATTTTGGAAGGTTACTGAGTCAACTGATCAGACTGAAGTTTCAGAGTTTAACAGTCCTCTATATATTTAAAAAGCTTTCCAATAGGTACCTCAATTCCTTTCTGGCTGCCTTTATCAATGAAAAAGCAAAATGTTATGCTGTAAAAGTTATAACAGAAACACAGGAAGTTTTCAGCTTAATTCCAAAAACAGCACCTACTTTTCAAAACAACTTGCCCATTTCAGGAACAAAAGCACCAAGAATGAGTGTGACTGCAATGGATGAAGCAATAATCACAACAGTTGCTTAGTGTCAAGACTCAACTGCAAGCATTAACAGAAGAGCATAAAACGTAAATCAGGTGCACAAAAAATAACCTGCTGATTTAACTACTGAAAGAAGAAAAACTGCCTTCTGACTGCTTAAATCTCACTCAGCCTCCATTTGCACCTTTCCCCTCTCATAAGTCTTAGTTATACTAATCATACATAATATCCCATTTCACCAGCAGGAGCTCATATTCCTTCTATGAGGCTCTGATGGTTGTCTGGTAGAGATGGCACAAGGCTTTGTTTCCCTTCCATGAGGATATAACCCATGTCAGATGTCCTTCCTATTAAACATACAACACTGCTACCTGTTCAGGAAGATGAAGAATTGTATGTTCTTCAGAGCCAAATGATGAGAGTGATTTATAGGCGGAAATGGCTACAACAGCATCCTAGAAAATTAACAGGAAGAAAAAGAAAATCACAAGCACAGCATATGATACTGCTACCTACTGGAAACTACATACAAATAGCCTATCCACTAACCAGTGAATGTTGAAAAAGGCTTTAAACTAACGTCTTCCTGAGGCGCACTCTCTATTGCTTATACTATATATATATATACACACATAATTGTATATATACAATTCAAACTAGCAACACCAATTACCTAGGCTTGGTAACAAACATTCTGATTGCTACACTCCATTACTACTGTGAGGGTATTTTATGTAGAAACAGCCAAGCTATATTTAAACTAAAATACTTTGGTTCCACCAGCCCCACGGTGATGATGGTCCAACATTCCCACAGCGTTACAATACCCCACCAAAGAACTGAGTTTGTTGTCACAGCTACAGCTTTGCCAAGAACACTTCACCATGTCAAGGCTGAAGTCTACCGCTGGAGTCAAACTAGACTGTGTTACAATTCTCCTCCGGTGTGGCACATCTTAGGACCATCAGTTACCACCTTTCATGTGCATTATATAGCTTCAAAAATACTATTAAACAGCCAATGACAAGAAGAAAACACTATTAGTAAATGAGATTGCTGACACTGATAGCCTTGTCTTGACAGAAGGGTATAAAACTTAATATCCAGTTGCTGACACAAGGAATTAACACTTTCAGTTGTATCACCTACCTTGTTTTGCGTGTTGTTCCAAAGGAAGCTGATAACTTGAGTTTTGAATTTCTATAAAAGCAAACAAAACAGGCATTCAGATTTTCTTTAACCAAACAAGCAGCTGAAAGAGAGGCAGTTACATGAAAAAAACTGCAGTCACATCAACATGCACTGAGCGAGGAAAGTGGAAGGAATTGCAGGTTTGAACCGTAGATGTATTCACGTGTCCTCGCATTCTGGGAGAGGGAAACTCCTGATGAACCTTGCACTGGAACTTCTCACCTGTCTCCCAGGATTCACTAATGCAAATTAAAATTGTGAGACTGTATGGAAATGTGCATTATGAATAACCTGAATTAGGCAGTGGGTGCAATTTAGAGATATTAAAAAGAAGAAGGCACATTTAAAACTCATACACAAAGACACAGTAAAAGAAGCGACCAATGTCCACAAGTACATACCTCATATTCATTTGTATTCACTGTTAATGAGGGAACCAGTGCAAACAACTCATTCAGTGCTTTTAAAATGAGGGGTCTTGTATCACAACCCAGCTTTGGTGACAGAGCATTCCATGTAGAACGGATGCAAACAACCTGGAGTAAAATTGGGAGGCACCATTAGTAACAGTAATCTCAACTTGGCTTAACATTTCCTTCCAGCATTTGCCTTCTTTCTTCCTACTTAGGAGTAGGAATTAATATCGAGTGATTAAAAAAAAGGAGGAGGGGGGGAAAAAAAGGAGGAGGGGGGGGAAAGGAGCAGCAAGCATGTTAAAAAATCACTTGTATTAACAGTCTCACAGTATTTCAGTTATATCTTCATATAACATGACTGCTCTACTTCACTTGTTCAATTTAGCTTAAGAGCAAGCTGTCTCTGGGAGTTCAACATGGTGAAAGCAGAGGAAGCTGTGGAGGAAGCTATGTTCCCTGAGAGCCCTCCTAAACAAAACGTCCTTAATCTTCAAACACAACCAAATCCAACCAAATTTATTGAACAAAAGAAGAATGTAAAATTGCAGGAATCCAGAAGTCTCTGGGAAAATCTCAAACAAAAATAAACACTAATACTATGGCTTCAATAGACCTATACTAAGCAGGTCGGTTGTTACAACTTACAGTGACAGAAATCACTTCAACGGATCAGAAACATTAAAAAAAAAATAATTCTGTCAGGCAACCACAGATGACAGTAACATCATGCTTCCAACTGTTAACTTACAAAAACTGTGAAACTGGTTAGTAAATCATAAAATTTATTTTTATTCTGTTAATAATGAATTTGGAATCTTCTAATTTGCTTTCAAAGTCCTTAGAACATAGTAACTTCAGCCTTTTAAATCTGCCTTTGCAGTTATACTAGAAACCAGAAAGTTACTGTGCATTAAATAGAAGCTAAAATCACTTTAGAGACACTTCTGCAATCCAGTTTTTAAGTCCTCAAGAGAGAAGAAGAAAAAAAGAAAAAAAGCAACCACAACAAAATATTGGCAGTGGCAGGTAAAAACAGGAGTATCTGCAGGCTTCCGTGCTACAAGGAAGACAAACCAGAAAATCATGCTTTTTCTATTTTTTTCAACTCCGGAGGCCAATATTTGGTTACAGGACAAAGCAAAGTAGCTTGTCATTACAGATCATAAAATTAAACACTCAGAACACCTTGCAGGGTATGGTCCTAAGGCTGGTATTTTTTCACAGATCAGAACTCACTGGGAAAAACCAACAACAAAAAAATTGAAATCCTCCAACAAAAAGGTAACACTCTGCATAGAAAGAAGTCTAACCTGCTCTTTTAATACCTATAGAGGGTAAGGAAAGCTGAATAATTAAGTTTCAAAATTTATTAGTACCAGATACATGTATACCAGTGGTTAGGTGGCAAAAAGACTATCAGAACAGAATACTCATGCAGATCCAACATATACTGGGAAGCATCACAGCATAGTAAAAAGCATTAGTTAGCCAGTTTAACAGATCTGAATTTTTTTTAAAATTATATACACCAATAGCACCAAAATCCATGAGATTTTGTTAGCTGTAAGAGGAAAAAAAAAAAGGTAAAATAAAAAAGTTCTATAGTTTGTTTCTCACAATTGAATGGTTTCATTAGCACCAAATAACAAACTTTCTCCCCGCTCACATTCAGTGTTTGATAAGCAATGGCAAATCTCTTGGCTTTTTTGCTTTAGCCAACTATGACTTCTGAGGCTCACAGACATTACACTGAATAAAAACAAGAACCAAGTGTATTATAAATCATACTTACAGAAACCTCCTGTATTATAGTGTTGTTTCACAGAAAACAGGAAAACATTGGTTCTATTTATCAAGCCAGTAGCTAGTTCACTCTCATAGCAAGCTGGCTGGAAGAATATTGTGGAGTCATGCTTCAATTTTCAGACTTCAACTCAAAAAGGCACTCCACTTTTAGCCTAGCTTGAAATACATGAACAGTCCCACTGTATACAAGATCACTTTTTGTGTTTAAGTTCATGATTATCCTTAAGCACCTTACCAAACCATCCTTAATTCAAAGTCATGAGTCTCTGAAATTGTTAAGCAACTTGTCATCAAGGCACTTGAGATATTGTGTCTGGAAACTTAGTGCCACACATAACTAGTACAAAATTTTACAGTACATACAGAAAAGAGTAATCTTTTGGGTCAAATGAAAGGATGAGGAAGCAGACACTAGCATTTTATTTTGTCAAAGCTTTGGAAGAAAGTAAAGGCTTTGATTTCTCCTAGCTGAAAAAAGGAATACTCACAGGACAATTGTAAAGATTAACTGTTACAAAAGCATTTTAATTTCTTCAGACACAAGGTCCTCGTGAAGTAAAGGGGTTACTGCTGTGCATCAGTACTAGGGCTGAAATGCACGCTTTTATTTTTCTCTTTTTCCTAGTGTTGCAAATCAGCACAGCACAGCATGAATATGGTAAGTACAGAGGGATTTTTTTTAAAGCTGCAAGCAGTAACATCCAAATGAAAAAACTGGCACTGTTGCACTTGACCCAGAAGTTCCTGATGCCTAGTTTTATTTCCAAGAAATTATTATTGAAGCTTCTGATGACAACAAAACCTGCTTTATTCAGAACACTCACACAAAAAGAAGTCTCCTCACAAATGTGATAACTTCCACTTACGGATGCTAAAAAAGTCTTTTCTGTCTCCTGCTTATGTTCACCACAGTATTTTATGCAGAATAACATCAGCCTACAGAAGATTCCAAGCTGAGCTGTGGCCTACGCTACAGGTGGTTCTTCAAGTCTGAAAGTGATTTGAATAATTCTATACAAAATGGAAATCCTTCGGACTGTTCCTCACACCAATCCAGAAGCTTTCAGAAGTCTACGATGACTTACACAGTCAAAGCAAATGGCCTTTTTCACCTGCCAACCTAATGAAAAGTGTTCAAGAAGTAAGCAACACTCTGGTCCTTTTGGAAAGGGAAGGGAATCCAATGAAACATTCTTCTTCAAATCCATTCACAGCTAATACCCATATTCCCATCATCCTCATGTTATTTCTCCTTCAGTAGAAAAGGAACAATTTACACTGCAAAATCAGCTCAAACTACCAGTTTAACTCATCTATTCATTTGATAGTCAAATAAGCACCTTCACATTCCTCCATGTGCTCTTAGATGAGAGTTTGTCTTAAAAATTCAGTTATTTCACTATTCACTTACTGATTCCTCTTTGCCATAAGGCTTAAAATAAGGCAACTACTAGATTGATGGGGCACAAGATGTATTCATCAAGCAAGTCATCTTTTTTGTATGCTTATGTGTTTGTATTCAGCTTCTAGAGATCAGATTGAACCCTAAGATCTCCGGGGAAAAGATCAGCTTTTGTTCTGCAAGTAGGGCACAGTGATTTCAAAAGCTGATTTCACCAGCTGCTGCAGCAATTCTTTGCTGACAAAATAGAGATACTGTGTGTGCCTGCTCCATATCCACTCCTTCCAGCATAAGGCTTATCAATCTCTTTTTAACCATTCATCTATGCTCTTTATTAGGTATATCAAAACAATGTCACAGAATCACAGACTCAATTGGGTTGGAAGAGACCTCTGGGATCACCGAGTCCAACCTTTGCCCTAACACCACCATGTCAACCAGATCATGGCACTAAGTGTCACGTCCAGTCTTTTCTTAAACACCTCCAGGGATGGGGACTCCACCACCTCCCTGGGCAGCCCATTCCAATGCCTAACGACCCTTTCTGTGAAGAAAGGCCTCCTATGTCAACATTTATCTCTAGGACTAATGGACTTTTTAGACCAAAAAGGAGCCGTCTATATATTAATGAGCCCATGTTTCCTGGAGCTTGCGTCCACACACTCAGAAAGACACTGCTGTAGCAGGTCACATTCAGAACATTTGGGGTTAGGTGTTTAAAATGTTTCTAAGGGTTAGAACTGAAGTTGCTGCCATCAGTGATGTCTTCTGTATTCATCCTACCTTCTATAAAGCTGAAAGACTACTAAGCCATAACTGCTATCTAGCTATTCACCACAACTTAATCAACCTTGTATTGTGAAGAAAATAAGGACTACACATTTACTGTATTACTCTAACTACAGCACAGCAGTGAGACATAACTGGTCCTGCTTAGCCCTTCCTGGATAAAAATAAGCCTCATCTGGTTTATTTTCACCTCTAAAGATCCCCATGACAGCTCAACAAGCAGTCAGTACAATGGTTTGCGTTTCTAGGCACTGAAAAACTTCTGTAAGATAATCAGCCAGTGGGTACAGTTTGAGCTGAAGAATTATACAAAAGTCACAAAAAGAAGAAGTCGAGTTCCACAGGAAGCTTGACTAGACAGTATTATTGGTACTACAACTTCATTTTTTCCTGTGAAAGTTTTCAGTTGCCCATGCTCTCTTTCTGTAAGGAGCCATGCATTCTAGTCAAAACTTAATTAATTTCCCTGCAGCATTCAGTCAAACCTCTCATTGCTCTCTGTGGAGAATTCCACATTTCAGATTTTGCCACCATACTGAAAATAATTCTGTCTTGAATTTATCTGTTGCTACCATTTGTCTTTCAGATTTCAGGCTTCAGTGCAAAAAAACCCATGCAAAACAGGAAGAGTCACAAAGCAAAAAAAAAAAAAAAAAAAAAAAAAAACCAACAAAATCACCCCCCCCCCCCCCCCGCCCCTCCAAAGGACAACAAAACAAAGAAAAATCCCAAACCCATAACAATGCAGGCTTAGAACCAAAGCCTAGACAAAAAAGAAAAAATAGTTGTGGCAAAGCTAGGTACGAATATACGTACTCAGCCTTTTAAAGGGGAAAACATACTAGAACTGCAAATCAAAACTCTAATTTAAACAATCTGAGCAAATGCCATGAAAATTTCTTCCAGTTCTACGAAATTAAAGAAAGCAATAGAAGACTCAGTCAAAGAGAAATACAAATCCATCTGTGTAATTAAATCAAATGAAGGGGTGTTTATGAACATATTCCACAAAGGCATTAAGAAAGATAGTTTTAGTATTATTCTGCACTGAAAAAACCAGCAGGCTTGGTATCACTGAATTCAGGTAATTGCTGAATTAAGCAGTCACTTCAGTGAGCACAAA